CCCCCCCGGGAGCGGTGCCACTGACTAAAGTGTCTTTAGGCCATTCTCAAAGGGGGGACATTTCTCGTTCTAATGCACAGTAGAATTGTAAATGGGCTGATCCAATAATGTTATTCTCATAACTGAGCCTGAACTTCAACAGGGAACTGCTGCTTTTTCCCCCTAATTCCCTACTGTCGTCATTTTCCTCTACTTCTTTTGTATGTTTGTCACTCTTGTGACCCTCTATTTCCGGGGTGCCTTGATAGTCGAAGCAGACTTTGTGCTGTTGAAGCTAGAGAGGTGAGCAGAGTAAGTCTCATTCCCTGTAAGGACTTCTCTGTTGACATCCACCCCTTGGAGCAGTTATGCAGTTGCGAGCGCTGTAAAACCTCTACTAAAACTAAAACAAACGTTTCGTGTGTATCTCGTCCACAGGGTCACCCTCCGCTTCAATGGTAACAACATTGAGATCGACAGCTCTGGTGCGGAGTATGACGACTTTTTGTCACGGCTATCAGGTGAGTGATTTTGTACAGGGAGTCGGGGAGAGAGAGAGAGAGAGAGAGAGAGAGAGAGAGAGAGAGAGAGAGAGAAAGTGGCCTCAGGATGACAAACAGCATGTCTTCCCACTGTTCTGTACATACTGTGCACTAAAGCCTCCATTGATCAACCCGACCCAACACCATCTTATCCAATCTGACCCGACCCAACCCAACCAAACCCAACCCAACCCTACCCAACCCAACCCTACCCAACCCTACACAACTCAAACCAACCCAACCCAACCCAACCCTACCCAACTCAAACCAACCCAACCTAACCCAACCCAATCCGACCCTACCCAACCAAACAAATGCTAACCCAACATAACCCAACCTAACCTAACCCAGCCCTACCCGACCCAATACAATCCAATCCTACTCTACCCAACCAAACATAACCCAACCTAACCTAACCCAGCCCTACCCGACCCAATCCAATCCAATCCTACTCTACCCAACCCCGTCCAATGCCAAACCAACCCAACATGACACTACTGAACACAATCTGATCCAAACCAAACCAATGCCAAATCGACACTCCCAGTCCAACCCAACCCAAAGACAAATCTGACCCTATTCAAACCAATCCAACTTGATTTGACCTGACCCAACCCACCCCAACCCAACCCAACCCAACCCAACCCTACCAGACCCAATCCAACCTCACACAACCCAACCCAAACTAACACAAACCAAACCAAACCAAACCAATCCTATCTGACCCAATCCAACCCAACCCAACCCAATACCAGACCAAATCCAACCCAACCCGACCCTCCCAACGAGCATCCTCCAGCATCACCTGTATCGATGCTGCGCAGCGTGCTAGCCTCCAGCTTGAGCTGTGGTCGTTGCCCATCTCTCTGATTGGCCGCCGCTGAGGGAGACGGGGGCTGAGGAGAGTGGACCTGAGCTGTGTGGGACCGGGGCGAGTGAGCCACGGGGCTCAGCAGAGGCCGGTCCGTCACCGGTGGGTGGGATGAGGCCGCGGAGTCATCCTGGTTCTCTCGGGCTGTTTCCCGGATAGTGTCTAGACCTGAAGGACAGACGATACTGTGGTCTATTTGGTTGTTTTTGGTTGTGGCAGGGGGTAAGGCCTAGCCTATTATTGTATTGTTTGGCTGAAAGTGTGACAGTGAGTAAAGTGTGAGTCTAGGTTCAGTTGTATTGTTTCGTGCAAGTGTATAAAAGCAGTCTGGATTACTACAGGTCAGACTTGAGAGGGGAGAGCTGTAGCAAGAGGAGGCCGGCTGAGATTTCGGGAGGAGAAAAGTCTAGTTAGAGCCTGTGTTTATTTCTGTGTTGTGTGTGAGATTCCAACACATCGGGGCCCCATCGCTGAGGAAAGGATCACCATCCGGAGAGAAACAGGTTTGACTAACCCCTGTTGTAAACGCAGGCAAACAAAAGGTTAGTGTTTTATGTTCAAGTAACAACAAAGACGAAAAAAGCGTCTCCTGCAACATCTGCAAAAGCATGATAATAGTTGAGGAGTTTTCAACTTCAAACCTCTAAAAGCATTTGAAGGGAAAACACCCAAATGAAATTGCAAGCAGGTAGAGCAGTACAGAAACACCACAATATGATAATTGAATTGTCGGGTACCCGACGGGTACTCTGGGTTTTTTTTTCATTACCCAGGTATCAAATTACTTGTATAATCCCAGCCCTAAAGAGCAGGTTCAAGTGTACAATAGTACAATGTAGCTCAGTTACTGAGCAGGTCCCATGTGCAATAGTACAATGTAGTACAGTTATTGAGCAGGTTCAGCACCTTTTAAGGACCCCTGAGCAAGTGTTGAGTTCCTGCGGGCTGTCAACATTGCTGACCGTTTATGATGCCAGAGCGCCAGAAGAGAGAGACCGAGAGAGAGAGAGAGAGAGAGAGAGAGAGAGAGAGAGAGAGAGAGAGAGAGTGAGAGAGAGAGAGAGAGACAAAGAGATAGAAATCTGTGCAATGTACCTTAGTTATTGAGCAGGTTCAACTGTGCTATGTAACTCAGTTATTCTCCACACTCAGTTGGAAGTGGTCTTTTGAACAGGTGGTTGTTTTGTACTGGTGGCCATTAGAGCAGGTTCAAGTGTACATTAGTCCTACAATGTAGCTCAGTTACTGAGCAGGTCCCTTGTGCAATAGTACAAGGTAGCTGCTCAGTTACTGAACAGGCTCAGGGGTAAAACACAATTCAGTAATTCCCAATACTGACCTTGTTCCTCCGAGGTCACAGGCCTCTGTGCGTCCAGCGGCGACAGCGTGTTGGCCCGTACGGCACGACCAGGCGAGGAGAGCAGCGTGTCTTCCCTGTGCTCCCTGGACGGAGGCTGAGCCTTCTCCGACGTGTTCACCGTTAAGTAGGTTGGGTCGCGGGACATGTCCTTGAACTCTCGCAGCTGCGGCGCACTCTTGGTGGGCGACTGGAAGTTGGCGGGCGTCCCGGCGGGGGCCATAGGCACGTGGGTGGACAAGGCAGGGGACACGCAGTGGATGGCTATCTCGTCCAGCTGAAAAACAACATACTCTTTATAACCACCTTCCATATAACGACATTCTCTGTATAGTGTGTGGTCCATTTGGTTGTTTAATTTGCAATCTGGCGGGTTGGTCAGTGGCAGGGGGTTAGGCCTAGCCTATTGTATTGTTTGGCTGAAGGTGAAAGTGTGTAAAGCAGAGAGAGTGAGTGAGTAAAGTGAGAGTCTCAGTTCAGTTGTATTGTTTCGTGCAAGTGTATAAAAGCAGTCTGGATTACTACAGGTCAGACTTGAGAAGGGAGAGCTGTAGCAAGGCAGAGGAGGCCTGCTGAGATTTCGGGAGGAGAAAAGTCTAGTTAGAGCCTGTGTTTATTTCTGTGTTGTGTGTGAGATTCCAACGTATCGGGGCCTCATCGCTGAGGAAAGGATCACCATCCGGAGAGAAACAGGTTTGACTAACCCCTGTTGTAAACGCAGGCAAACAAAAGGTTAGTGCTTAAAACTATTTTATGTTCAAGTAACAGCATAGCGACATGGAGCTCAGTTCCCAATTTTCTCCTTATATATATATATATATATATATATATATATATATATATATATATATATATATATATATATATATATATATATATATCTATAGTAATTTTTGGTTGTCTCACTGTAACGACAACTCTCTATAACAACCTTTGATATAACGAGAATTAAAGGGTCTTGAACATCTAGCTCTCACTGGCAAAATTGAGGGCAAGCGAGGCAGGGGTAGGCCCAGAACAACATACTTAGGGAACCTAAACAAATGGGTAACAGGGAAAGATCAGGGAAACGTAGCTTTTCTGAGAGCATCCGAGCAAAGGAATGAATGGAAAATCATGATCACCGATGTCTGTTGCAGATCTGGCACTGGATGATGATGATGATTCCCCCTCAGGGCAGGGCTACTGACTGAAGTGTCTTTAGGCCATTCCCAAAAGGGGGATATTAACACGTTCTCATGCACAGTAGAATGGTAAATGGGCTGATTCATCAGTGTCATATTCATACTGTGCCGGAACAACATAGAAGGGGGGAACTGCTGCTTTTTCTTTCCTCATCTTTACTATCGTAATTTTTTTCCTCCACTTCTTTTGTATGTTTGTCACTCTCTTGTGAACTGCTATTTCCGGGGTGCCTTGATAGTCGAAGCAGACTTTGTGCTGTTGAGGCTAGAGAGGTGAGCAGAGTAAGCCTAATTCCCTGTTTGGACATCTCTGTTCACATCCACCTCTTGGTACTCATAATATGACCTTATGTAGTTGCGAGCGCCTTAAAACCTTACTAAAACAAACAAAAGAATGTATTTTTCAGCAAATTTTCGTCACACAAAAAAACAACAACAGGGCACCTGTGTCCTTGGTCCAGTGGAGGACAGGTTGACCTTGATTGTGGTGGTACCGTTCTCGGAGTAGCCCTCGCTGATGGAGCTCCTGTGACTGGACGGGGCGGAGATCACGGGTCCTGGCAGTCGGGAAAGGAAAGTTTACTTGTGAAAAGAAATTATATATATGTGTGAAGCTTGTGAACAAAATAAGTTACTTCTTGGATTGAAGCCCTATGAAAAAATATACATCACGCTTTTAGGTGAAGTTTTTACAATTCATAAGCGTGAAGTAATAAAAGGCATGTTATATATAATTATAAGGAAAATAGCATCAATAGAAAATCTACAAATTTGACCCTAGTGTCGATTTTTGGCCAATATCTCTATTTGCGCATTGCGAGAAGCAACTCATTTTGTCAGCATGCCTCATACATATGCAGATTTTTAGTAAAAACACAATGCATTGTCTACGTGTTGCTATTTGTATTTGTAAAGCGCACAGAGCCTGCATTCTTGAATTGGAGTAGAGTGCTGTACATAAATGTCACATATCATTATTGATTGAGTTATCAAGGAACACATATACCTGACACGGCATCGGTGGCCTAGTGGTTAGGCTCTCGGACTCGCAACCGTAAGGTCGTGGGTTCGAATCCCGTCAGGGGCCCGACGTTGTGTCCTTGGGAAAGGCACTTTACACGAATTTTCCTCACTTCACCCAGGTGAAAATGGGTACCCAGCTATAGACAGTGAAAGATCTTGTCAGTTTGATAGTGTTTGAGCGCGTGAAATCCGCAGCTTGCACTGTATGCTTCCCGGGAAGCTGAGAATGTTTCGGAGTGTTCTATGGTCTGCTGGGGTAATAATATAGTGTAAAGCGCATAGAGCCTGCTGTTGAGCGGGGATATGCGCTATACAAATGCTATCTATTATTATTATTATTACTTAATATATAGAAGTACAAAGTGAATCTGTAGGAAAAATAGGGCCTACATCCTAAAATAGCTGACCTAAGGAGAAGTCAAGATCCTGCCTCTTGTAAGAGAAGGGTCTCGTCGTCTTCACTCCACTGGGAAGCTCCGGCAGGCCGAGGGAGATGGCAGGAAGTTTGAATCGGTGGTACGGGGCCAGGTCGGCAGAGTTGTACATGTCCCTCCCGCCTAGGGGAAAAAAAAATTCAGCACCAGCGAGCTGTGAGTGAGCAATGTTGAATAATTTAGGTGGAGGGTGGGGATGTGTGTGTGTGTGTGTTTGTGTTTGTGTGTACGTCTGTGTGGGTGTGAGTGCGTGTGTGGGCACGTGCACGTGCACATGTGTGTGTGTGTGTGTGTGTGTGTGTGTGTGTGTGTATGTGTGTAGGGATGTGAGAGTGGGGAAGTGTGTGTGTGTGTGTGTGTGTATTGTATCCAACACACAGCATTTACACTAAATGTGACATAATGTAACCCAAAATCACATTTGACAAATGTAACCTAAAGCACTAGATAGCACAACAAAAAGTAACCTTAACAGCCCGGCTATCGTACCTGACAGCGGAATAAGCGGCCGCCGTCTGTTCGGGAAGTCGTCCAGAGACTCGATGTCACTCGGCGCGCCGGTGCTCTGCGGCGGGGTCTGGGGCTGGTGCGCTGCGGCTTCGTCCAGTTGGAACACGGGCTGTCCCTGCGACAGGTGGAAAGAGCTCTGTGTCTGCTCCGTGTGTAGCTGCATGGGCCGCTGCTGCAGGAGTTCTCGCGCGCTGAGAGCCATTTGAGCACGCTCATCGCGAGCAACACATTCCTGGACGATTCGGTGGAGTTTTCCTTTTGATGTGAAATCACTGATGGGAAAGTAGCAGAAAAAGATAAATATATAAATAAATAAATAAATTTTTTTAAAATAATGATAATAATAAATAAATAAATAAATACATTTTAAAAATAAATAAATAAATAAGTAAGTAAATAAATAAATAAATAAATAAGTTATTATTGATTATTTATTCATATCAATCATTCATTGAGAAGTATAAAAAAGACATCAAATAGATAAATAAATATTTATCATGTATTCAAATCACCGATTAGAAATATTATTTTTAAAAATGAGATTTAAATTATTCAAATTATTTGGGTATAATTGTCAGTTGCACAATGCATGAAGTACAGGTAATTTTTCCAAAATGACACAAGCGTTAATAATAGATTGCACAGTATATTTTCATACAAAGATGTTTAGCAGTTATCTTTTAGAACATTTTTCTTCTTTTTCATTCAGCAAAATTGTTCAACCAGTGCGCGCGCACGCACACACACACATTTAGCTTACCTTCGTTTTGTGCGCTCAAGAACTTTAAGCAGTGTCTCCCTTGGCAAAGACAAGAGTTCGTTGATTCTATTTATTTTGAAAAGAAGAAAATAGAGAAATTAATTTGGCTTCAAATTTTTACACAGGATTTTTTAAAATGCTAGCAGATATAACTGTTGTTTCCTTCTTAATTAAGTCAGAAGTAATGAACATTGATATATCGAGCACTTCAGGTAGGAACCAAATTAAAGCATACAAATACTGTAGGCTACATAGCAATATCTGAGAAAATAATGGAATTGTAATATCATTTAAACCCCCAAATATGTGTGAAGATGATAGTTTCATTTACTTTATTCTAACTTTATTCAAATGACTGACTTTCTAAAATCCATAAACCAGCAAGTAACAGCTCTTTTATCATATATAGCGGCGATATATCGTCTGCCTTTAGGTATACAGAAAATTTGACTAAAGCAAAATGATACTCCAATCTAAAAATCTTGCTATGTTAATTCTGCTTGGGTTAACAGAAAGGCATTGACAAGATCATGCCCATATAATATAAATATATGATGTCTGTGAACAAAAAACAAAGTAATACTACACTGACATATACTGCATACAGTATAACACAAATAGCACGAATTCGCCAGGACCAACCTCGGTAGTTCGAGGGATCCGTATTTCGAGGGATATCTTACAAAGATAAAGAAGTAAATAAAGCGGGGCCGCATGCAGGCACAGTTCGACGAATGCGTGATTTCAAGTCTTCTGTGTTCGACCTGTCCATGTGGTACAGTATTCTTTGAAAACATTGTCAACTTGTTGGGACTCATTCATCGCTAGCTGCCATTTCACAGGCACTCAAACACTAATGAAGTGGACAAGATCTTTCACTGTCTCAGTTGGTACCCATTCACAAATGAGCAACATGAGAAAATCCGTGTATGAAGAGAGTGAGAGAGAGAGATGTTTTAAACTTATTGAAGATATTTTATTAGTTGATATCCTTTAAAAAATGGAAGGGCATTTCACTTTTTAGATTTAATGTATTTTGTCATTTAGCCTTTTATACACGTTCATGA